AACACACACATTAGCCTAGAACTACATAGGGTCAGAATCGTCAATGTCACTGTCTTCCACTTCCACATCTTGTACCACTGAAAGGTCTTCAGGGGCAATAACATGCACAGAAATGTCATTTCCTGTGATAACAATCTCTTCTAGAATATCACACAAAGGACCTGCCTGAAGCTGTTTTACAGTTAACTTTTTTACTAAGTAGAAGGAATATACCCTAAATAACAATAAGAAGCTTAGTAAATACATAACCAGGAACATAGTCATTTATTATCAAGTATTACATACTATACATAATTGTACGTGCTCTATACTTTTATACAACTGGCAGTGCAATAGGTTGGTTTACACCAGCATCACTACAAACGTGTAAGTAATGCGTTGCACTATGATGTCACTAGGTGATAGGAATTTTTCAGCTCCATTATAATCTCATGGGACCACTATCATATACGCAGTCTGCTATTGACCAAGATGTTGTTATGTGGCACATGACTGTTAGAAGTTGTAAGAACCATTAACAGCTAATAAAAGCCTAAATGTTCCATATGCATAATATTAACCAATAATTTTAAGATGTTTTTGAAAGCAAATTTCCTCAAATTTATCAGATTCTATAGTTTTCTAATTTAAGATGGCAGGTATTTTAAATAATTTGGTATCTTCTCTAAACTAAATTACATTCGATGGACAGAGCTCAAGTCTTCAAATCCCTAGAGCAATGCATCTCTCTACATGTCAAGGCACAAGTGCAGGAGCAGAGGAAAGTGGTCTTTCCTTACCTGTCAATGCAACATGAATACAGTGGGTACATAGTAGCTACACTGGTGAAGGCCTACACCTAACTGCCTGCCCACCTGCTACCTAGCATGTAGCAATTCCACTTCTCTTCCTGCTGAAACAGGTGAGGAAGTGCAGAGGGACATTATTTGACTCATTTGATCAAATTTGAAGGGAGCAAATAAAATTTGATCTCCTCTCTCCAATTTAGACTGATCAAATCAAAGAAATGAGAGCATATAGGAGTAAAATATGCCAGACAGGTAAAGTTCTCAACCCTTAAAAATCATTTTGGTGAAGAGAAATAAATACAGCAGAAATAACCTTTTTTACTGGAAACCTGTAAACTATAGCATTCCACACTCTGTAGAAACTCAGGTCTGACTCTCATAGTCATTAACCTGGGCAAAATATGGTCAATGTTTCTTAAATTTCTCCTGAAGTCTGCTTAAGATATTATTTATCTTTGCTAAGTTTGTAAGGAAGCTTTGTTTGTTTATTTTTAAAGTCCTGAGAAGAGGTGTGGGAAGCTTCTTCCAGAATGTAATTAGACAATGTTAAGTAATCTCTGGACCTGAGTCACATACAGTTATATTCAAAAGGTATTACTAGTGTCTGTGGTACATATACACACAAACACCTGTGTCCATTAAAAAAATCATGGCAAATATATAATATGTACACACACACTCCATACATATGTATATAAAGGAAACCTAATAACATTTACCACAAATATATGCAAATGAAAAACATAAGACTGAATCAACTGCACATGGGTGGATTTCCACTTAACGTGGTTTTGCGACTTTATGATACAAAGGCAGTATCTCTGAGCAAAAGAGAAATAAAGTACCTACAAAAACTTCAAGTATTTTATCCCAAATTTTGTATGTTCAAACGTTCTGGAAAAACAAAAGTGAGCTCAAAATCAAATCAAGTGATAATTAAGTCCATACCTAATAGCCCAGTGTCTATATCATCTTCATTTTTCAAATTCTCAGCATGTAACTCTGTAAATACAAAGAAGGATTTAGGTAGAAAAGATTATTTTACAATCTGAAGAGTAACTCAAAGGCTGGGAAGAAATTGTGGAGCTGTGGAAAGTGCTCTGGAGTCAGAAGAACTGGGCTCAAATTCTAATTGAATTTACTAGCTATGTGACCTTCAACAAGCAAATAAGACCTCTCTCCAGGTGTCAACAGCCATATACTGCATATAAGATGAGAGTAATGTTTATCTTCTAGGGTTGTTGTAAAGACATTTTATGTAATGCAAATTAAAAGGAATACTAGGTTTTGAGTTCATTTCCTTTTTCCATTCTCCAAAATAAGCACAGTTCAATGCCTTTGCAACGGACTTTACTTTTCATGGTTTTGCGACTTTATGATACAAAGGCAGTATCTCAGAGCAAAAAGAGAAATAAACTACCTACAAAATAAAACTATCACGGTTGCAGTGAAAAGAAGGGGGAGAGGAGTGATAGAAAAGCAAAACACTGGCAGCCAAATATTTAAGATTGGCAGTTTACACCCAAAACCACTTTATTAAGAGGTAAAATTCACATATTAACTTGCCAATCTGTCTTCTGTATGACAATCAAACATGGTAAGGTGTTAGATGCCATCTGCAGCCCACCAGGGGCTGGGAAGCAATGAGAAAAAATAAAAACTGGAGTTAAATAGATTTAATTTCATTTACTGAAGTAAAGTGAATACTTGAGTGACAATGTGTTGGGTGCTTTTCATACAACTAAGTTTTTTTTTTTTTTAATTTTAATTCTTCATTTTCAGTAACTTGGCCAAGATCACACACACACTAGTGGGAACTGAGATTTAAACTCAAGTCTGATTCCTTCCACTGTAATATACAAATAGCCCACCATACAATACATCCATATAAGTCTTGGAAAAAGATTTCAACTGGCCAATATTTCAAATTCAGACACAGGAAAATAAAACCATTAGAGGAAGCACAGACTATACCTTCTACAACAGAACTTTGTGCACTACACTTGGCTACAAACTTAAAACTAAGAGGAGCTAATTATTTCACCTATAAAACCAGAAATTTGGGCTATGGGATGGAAATCCTTGTCCTTCAGAACTTCTGGGTGTATAGAGACATCGGTGGCTAACACATCTTTAACTGTGGATCAAAGCCTCTGAATATATATATATATATATATATATACACACATATATATATATATATATATATACAGCCTATTTTATTTAAACGCACTATTCACTGTCTCCTGTTAACGGTGAGTGTTCTGCATTTCGTTTAATCGTGCCAATACGTCACTCCCGTGTTCACGGATTTGAAGATATTTCTTCAAAAGTATCCATTTAATTAAGAGATCCTTTCTTAAAATGGGTCTCTTGATCATGGACCAGGACCCCTACATCTAAGAAGAGAGGAGACAAAGCGGGGGAAGCAAAGAAAGGTGTTGACGAGGGCTCTGAGTGAAAGTATGACTGCCAGCTTGCCGGTTTTTGGTAGGGCATGGGAAAGGGAGGTTGATATCACGTCCTGACTCAACTTTACTCTGGACTCTCAAGGTCTCGGCTTCAGTACCTTTAACGATCAGATAGGCGATGGCGAGGAGGAAGGCCAGAAGGATGGCGAAGAGCAGCGAACAAAGAATAGAGAGGACCTGGACCGGCCACCGCCGAGAGTGGGCTCGGATGCCCGTAGCCGCCGGAAAGATGCCATTGCGCTTATCGGGCAGGACTGGCGACCCATCCGCATCCGAAAGGAGCAGCGAGCGGCTTCTGGGCTCTGAAGAGGCCCCAGCCGAGAACTCTGCCCGCAGGTCGCGGGCCACTTGGTCGCATCCCTCCTCGTCGACTTCGCCTTCACCCCAGCTGTCCCCCTGAGCGAAGGCAAAATACGCAGGCCGAGTGAAAGGGGCCGGGGTGTCGAGGCGGCGGCCCCGCGGAGCCAAGCGCCTCCCGCTCTCCACGAACGACATGGCGGGAAAAGACGGTGCCACCCGCAGGGACCGAGCGTCTCCCACCTGCCCCGCCCCGCGCCCGCAACAGCAAATCAGCGGCTGGCCGTCGCCGTGGCCTCCACCACCAGGCCCCCGCACTCAGGGGTGCGCAACGGCAGGCGGTAGGGCGGGACGGGAGCCGAGAGACTCCAGAAGAGGCTGGATATCTCCGGACCACAGCCGGATCCCAGGGCCATAGGCAGAAGAGAGAGCAGAAAACACACAGGGAGAGGTGAGCCGAGGCCGAAGGGAGCCGAGTGTCCTTCCCCTGCAGCGCTTGGTCCGGGCCACAGACCTCAGCCAATGCCGCGTCACCTCCAGGCAAGCGCGCGCCTTGGCAGACCCCAAAGCCGCATCTTCTTGACGCTGATGGGTCCTACTGCCCGCCCATGTTCCTCCGATACACATTTCCAAACCTATTTGCTTTCTCCCTTCCTCCAGTCTACGCTCACCCTCTTCCACGGCTTACCCTATTAACGGCAGTTTACCGCCTGGCGCTCTCGCTTTACCTTAACTGTCTATCCATTTCTCCCTTTACCGTGGTTTTCCCCACCGCTACCACAACTTGGTCGGCACGCCTCCTTCCCCCTCCGCTCGGGCGCGCGATCTCCACCTGGTGCGTACGGAGCTCGAACCCTCTACTCAGAACCCCTCCTCTCGCCTTCCCCGCCCCCTCCTTTCCCCTCCACCTCTAGTACCGCGCGCTCGCGCAAACAGCCCCTACCACCGCTAACGCTGGAAGCTGCTTACCCCACCTCTACCCCACCCTACCCCACTCCTGGCGGCTTCAGGTTTGTGGGGCGTACGTAACTCGGACGGGGGGGGGTGAAGGTGGCAGGACCCCCACTGCCCCAACACCTACGGGGTGAGGCGTTCTAAGCTTGGGAAGCTTGAACACTGTTGTCTCCCCTTTCCCTTGCGGAAGTTGCTGGAGTTTTCCCGGCTGAGTACTCGGCGCAGAAAGTTCCCTCGACCTCCTCCCCCCTCCCCATGCAGGCGACGCCGAGTGAGGCTGAGGCTGGGGGCGAATCACCACAGAGCTGCGTGTCAGCGGCACACTCTGATTGGACAGCAGGGAAGCCTGTCAGCTTATTGGCCCCGCTTATTCCGCCTCGTAGCTCAGGGCAGCCTTTAACCTTTAGCCCTAGCGGGCGCCAACCACTCAGATCGCTTCTTGTTGGTATGTGTAGCGGCAGTGGCCGCCGGCGGAGCAGTCTGAGCCCGACGATGAGGCCGGGGACAGGAGCCGAGCGCGGAGGCCTCATGGTGAGTGAAATGGAGAGCCATCCTCCCTCGCAGGGCCCTGGGGACGGGGAGCGGAGATTGTCCGGCTCAAGCCTCTGCTCCAGCTCTTGGGTCTCTTCTGACGGCTTCCTGAGGAGACGGCCCTCGGTAAGGGATCGGTGGGCCAGGGGGAAAGCGGCACAATGAAAAACGGAGTCAGAGAGACAGGAAGCTTTCTCCAAAAGGAGAAGAAGATAAGAGTGGACGAAGGAAGAACTGGAGATGGTGGGAAATGTTCTGAGGGAGGGAAATGGAGGGCGGGGATGCACAAAGGGAAGGATGTGGGAACCTGGAAGTTCCCAGTGGGCTTGGCCTAGACTGCGCGGTGAAGGTGCTGGGCCCTGGGCGGGGTAAGCGTTCTGAAGCCGCAGGCCGGATTTAGCAGGGACGGGGAGGCAAAGACTTAATTCTGTAAGACTTTAAAAGTGGCTGCCAAAATTTGTTTTCACTAATGGTGGTGGTCTGCAGGGGAATTGGCAGGAAATAATTACCTGATTTAAAACTGGGAACAATGGACACCTAGGTAAAGAAAGTAGGTGTCTTTTCAAAGCGCGTTAAAATGGATGAATTAGTTGTTTGCATTTAGAGTCTACGAATGACAGAACCTCAGTCTTTGAAAATGTGTTTTTGGCGAAGGAATTTTACCTGTCTTAAAGGTTAAGTTAGGAAATGGTAAGTTTGTTAAGAGTCAAGCGTCCCTGGTAACCATAGTGTTTGTGTATTATAAGACTAGCCCTCATCTGAGTTAATTTGGTAAATGCAACATTTGAAAGTTTAAAATCAATAGCATTATAAAATAACAATAGCCGGTTATTGTTTTCTGCGTGAAGTAGGACAAATTCGTGGTTTTCATCATAACAGTTTTTAAATTAGCATTTGACACATACCGTCTAAGCTTAGCAAACCAATTAGCGGCTGATTAAATCTGCTTTTTTTAAAAAAGAAAAAAAATTTAACTGTCCAGTAATGATCTTAACTTTTTCCATTTTGTTATGGAAATTGCAAGCTCATTTTAAATAATAGCATGGTGCATTTTGCTTAAAACAAGAAGGTATAAACTAACTCTGTAGTGTAATCATACATTGGCCTCATATTATGCTATTGCAGATAACTGATTTGTTAAAATGAGATTTTTGGGAAGCATTTAGTGTTACTTGCTAACTTTTAAATTTCCACTGTTTTTCAGATGGGGCACCCTGGCATGCATTATGCCCCAATGGGAATGCATCCTATGGGTCAGAGAGCAAATATGCCTCCTGTACCTCATGGAATGATGCCACAAATGATGCCCCCTATGGGAGGGCCACCAATGGGACAAGTAAGAATGTTTTTGTTTTATTTTGCATTTGTTTGTCTATTTTTGCCTCTAGTATTGTGTCAAGATTTCAAAATCTAGGTCAATACTTGTACGTGCTTAAGGATTAGTTTATGCCCAAATAATTTCAAATAAGCCAAATGTTGAATTGTGATTATAACCAAATTTTGAGTGTAATGAAAAGGTCTTCTGTTTTAAAAATATACTGACTAATTCAACAAAACTAGTTCTCTTTTTTTTTTTTTTAATTTAAAAAGAAAAATATACGTCTAGGCTTTTTTTTTTTTTTTTTTTTAGTTTAACCAGTATTTTTTCAAGCATGTCAACTGACGTTAATGTCCTAAAAGTAAATATTATCTGTATGGCAACATAACTTATTTTGGTGGACCAAGCAAATGTATAGAATCTGAAAATAGCAATTGTTTAGGCCTTTGGCTTAGGATGAATTTTATAGCTGAAATATCTTCCTCTTTGTGTGTAGCGGATAGGGGTGGGGAGTTCCTACTCTACAATTCTCCTTCTTCATAGGACAGTGCCAGATAGTTCATTTTCTACTTAAATGGTATTATTTTTTTTTAAGTGCTTATTGCTTCTGCACTCCTGCTTATGAGCTGCCCCTTCCGTCTCTAGCGTAAATTGTAAGTGGACATTTTATAGGAGAGATTTGGAACAAAAAGTTTTAATGCTGACTCAGTGACTTTGGTAGAACTGAGTTTTTAGAGCAGCATCCAAGAAAGGTAACAGGTTTAGTTACCATGAATAATTCTGTGCCCTGTGTTAGGTTCTATAATAAACAGATCCTTAGATGGCTGGGTTATTTCCATTTGAGTATCTCTATAAATCATCAAAAATTTAGGCTAACAAAATATTTTGGAAAGCCAATTTCATATGATCTTTTGCTAATTCATACTGTTTACTTTGATAATCGTTTAAGCTTTGATGGGTTAAAGTTATTGGTGAAACTGCAGTGGAAAAAGGAGCTTGCTATGTGTCTCTCTCTCTTTACTTAACCTTAAGAGTAGAAGGGCTTAATGTCAAGTGATTTTCTTCTTTTTTTATTTGGAATGTAGCCCTTGATTTTGCGTAAAAATCTTTATTCAAAGGCACCAGGCCCAAAAGATTCTGCCTGCAGGAGTTCTTTAAATGAAAGAGTCTTTTATTCTGTTACTCTAGAATAACACAAATTTTAAAACTCCCTAGGTGATGGAGAAACAACTCTGATTCCTCTTCTGTTTCTTTCCATCTCTAAGCAGCAAGGAGCTCTTCTTGTTTTCTTGGTAGAGCTTCTCTAACTAGATAATGAGCTTTAAAAATATTTATTCTTTAAATGCTCTGGTTCTTATTTAAAATTAGTTTCTTTCCACAGAAAGATAAAATAAAACAATTTGCTACTGCCAGATGCTTCTCTCTTTTCTGGGGCCTTCTGTTTCCATTGGGCCAATCAAGGTAAGTTTTGCAAGGGATTGACCTGCCTACCCTTGCTGTAATGGTGCTATTGCAGTACCGAAACCAAGATACCAGCTTGTCATTTCTAGGGAAAAAAATGCGGATTTTATTTTTTAAAAGTACTTTTATGTATCTCATTGACATAAGCTGGTCACAGTTTGCTTTATGGCCCTTTCTCTTTAGCTATATTGGTGACCATCTTCCTAGTAAGTTTACTTACTACTTAGTACACATCCATTCAAATACTCTCAATTTTGCCTTGTGGTTTTCTTCTACCTTTTTCCTAGGCCAATAATATGCCATGTGCCTTTAAGATGTTTAGAAATCTTTCTCCCTCTGGTGGCTCCTGTTTTAACAATGAATGTTTTAGTTAAGAGTCCAACTTTGAGGATCCCAAGAGAATCTCTACTGTTTTTCTCAAAATTAGATCATTCCCTTTTTTCCCCTTAATAACTAACAAATATGGAGTCCAAATCTTGGTAAAGCTAATTCTTATTTTAGCTTTATAACAGACTGGGAGAACGTGGATAATCTAAATCCTCAAATAATTCGGGAATTATTTATAGTTCTATAAACATTCCCTTAAAAATAAAAGTTGATAATAAATAGCAAAATTGATCCTTTTTTCTGCATCATTTCTTCTGCCACTATTTAGAAATACTAATGAGCAGTAAGTGGTCAGAAGATAATTAAGAAGAGTGCCTGTATCATTCACGGAGGTGACAGTTTGTAGGGTTCTGCCATCCAAACTGACTTTTAAAAAGTCAGTTCACAAAATCTTTAGACTTTGGGACTGAAGGTTACGGAACTTACATTTATTGACTAGTTTGCATGAAAATCTCATGCTGGGACCAGTTGAAGACTAAAATTGGTGGCAGTCTTACTTGCTAAATGATTGTGGTCTTTGGAATGTTACGGAATATGACATGAAATATTAAAACTTGTTTGTAAAATATTATGCAGATTGGAC